GTGGCCTGAAGCATACTCTATTCCTATCAATATACAAGGATGTCAAATCTTATCTCCTATTAATATGAAATATCTACATAAATTCTCTAGTGAGGGAAATGTTACTACAACAACTGAAGAAAAAATGAATGACTGGAGACAACCAATCATTGACTACTTATAAACAGGCAAGCTTCTCGAGAAAAATCTTTAGCATATCAAATCAAGAAAAGAACATTGTTGTATTCTATGATCGATGGTGTTCTTTACGAAAGATCATTTGTCTGTTTGGCACGGCGTTTATGGTGCAGCGCAATTTCAAACCGTAATTTAACTCGTTTGGAAACGGTGGGGCACAACAACGATGTTGATGGCGCGCCTGTAACGCGGACCTAGCAGCCTGTGTTTCTTATCTCATTTTTGTATTCTCTGATCGACAATATTACTTACAGAAGATTAGTTGATCAAATGTGGTTAAGATGTCTTGATAAGTCAAAAGCAAACAAAATAGTTAATAAAATTTTGGTTTGTTTCATGCTCACCGGTATGGCCTAAAAATGAAGTAAAAATTAGAAAACTAGGGTGTACTACTAGGCTGCAATGATAATGGATTGCATGGAAGTCAAAAAATATCATCAATGTCAAGTACTAGAGTATGCTATATCAAACATCAAATTTGCTACATCCGACAATCGTCTCGTTACCGTTCGAATGTTGGGGTACAAATATAGTGTGTCCTATAAATTTTATTCTAATAATAATAGATTTATTTTAGCAATTACAAATTACTTCTCAAAATAGGCAGAAGCAGTGTCGTTAAAATAAACAAAAATATGACATGTTTTCCAGTTCTTCAAGAACCATATCGTATACAGGTTCAGAGTTCCCTATCGAATAATATTCGATAATGGTTCATTCTTCAAAAGTACAAAGATCAAAAAAATTTTCAGACGACACAGCTTCGACAGGATACACTCAATAATATACTACTTAAAAGAAAATGACTCGACTGTCACCTTCAACAAAAACATTAATCAAGTTTATGAAGAAAACTTTAGACTATAATAAAAGACAATAACATAAACAATTAATTGCAGCATCATGTGCTTACAGAACAATATACAAAACAACAAAACAGTCTACACCGTAGCCTTGATGTAAGGGTCTGGACTGGGTTTTCCCTTGAAGTGGTTAACAACAAAATTACAATATAAGAAAATGCAAAGCTCTAACTTGAAGAACTCAAAAGTTTAGAAGCAAAATGTCTAATAGTTCAGTAAAACCTCGAGTTATACCAAATCAAAATAGTTCAAGCTCACGATAAAGTTCTGTCCCAAAGCTTTTTGAGCATTAAACTTAGTCTTAATTTTTCGGAGGTCAATTTGAGCCCATCGAAAAAGGTGTGATAAGTTTGAAACAACTTTGGAATGTCCTTATGCAATTGAGAAGCATACTACTGAGGATCTTACCAACTAGTAGACTGTAAAAGAGAATATCCTATGCTCCCAAACACATTGATTTCAAGCCTATTGAGGTTATACATGTGGCATTCAATTTGGAGGAAAATATCACAAGGAAGGTTAATTTTCTCCTTAAAAAAAAAACATTAATCTTACATTGGCCATAGTCAAATTTGGTCTAGACTTCAAACAATTAGAGAAGATATAATACGGACCATTGCTCAACATTGTGAATCAAGAAGAGGTTCAAGGTCGAAAGCTGATTCTCGAATTCATGATCCAAAAGGATAAGTTTCCAAAAAAGAAAAGGTAGGTGGAGAGAATTGCTGCAAAGGACCTAGAAAATGTAGTTGATCACATCATCGCAAACCTATGGATGAAAGTGAGTTCAGCCGACACTTAGTACTCGAGGAGTCCTTAGCGTTCCTACCAATTTTAATTTGGGAAAAACCGATGATAAAAGGATCAAATTAACTAATACTCAAAGAAGAAATCAAAACAGAAAATTCAGAGAAGTTAAAAAGGGAACTAGAAATAAAAGAGCTAGAAGTGGAACATTTACCTGAGGCACATGAGTACATGTCTAAGGAGAGGCTTCCGACAGTGGAAGCATATATTCAACAGTTTGTTCTAAAGAAAACACCGAAACAAATTATTTATGAAGATGAGCTTGAAAGATTGCATAATGTTAGAAGACAAAATTTTGAGCACTTTCAACGTCTTAATGAAAAGCCTGTAAATACATTGGAAAGACTTTAATTGCATATGAACATCTTTCCAAGCATAGAGTGAGAAAAAATAATTCAGTGCATTCAACAAGAGAGAGAAAGGAAAAGCCGGGTACTTAAGAAAAAGAACATATTTTGAACCAATAAAATGGATGAAAGATAAAGGGTGAATCACTATTCACTCCAGATGCTGCTGTAATTTTTTTGTCGATAGTGAAGGAAACACACATGGTATTATCCAGTACGACGACGTAGACCCTATTTCTCTTGTTCTAAAGAGAATCATAAAGTGGATGGAGTACTTGCATGTTTTGACATCTAATTGTGTTCCTAACAAATATATCGACAATATCTATAAAGAAGAGTGGATTGTATTCAACTGCAGATGGATCACCATGACTTTTTCAGGCTTTTTTGCACATTATCCTTTATAAGAAGATGTTACATCATATTTGGAACCGAACTCAAGATCATAGGTTTTGGAGAGCATGTAGAATCCGTGCAAATTTTGTTACTTGTTAGTTGCGTGTTGGTTTTAAATGGAAATGATACGATTATTTCAAAGCACTGTGTTCCAACGATTACATATCAAAGGATATATATCAATTTACGGAAGATGGGTGATTATAAGGCGTCGTAAACCTTCAGGTAATATTTGGAGCTACAATACGGAAGATGGGTGATTATAAGGTGTCGTATACCTTCAGGCATTTTTCCTAAATACTCAAATCAACCATTGTTTAGGCATTTTTCCTAAAGTTCCCCGACGTAAATTAATAAAATTCTAATCTCGAAGTCAACAAATAAAGGTCCCATGCGGAGAAACACAAAAATTAATAAAATTCTAATCTCAAAGTCAACAAATCAAATTTACATTTTTAATTTAAAAGTTAAATACTAAATTATATAAAATTTCAAATCAAAATTTTTGGTTATTACAAATTCTATATTTCCACTTTAAGTCGTTAAATTTCAAATCAAAATTCAAATCTTCAAATCTCAGTCAAATCAAATCCTTAATCTTCTAACTCACTTTCAAATTGTAATCCACATTCAATCAACTCAATATGCCTTCCAACTTTTTATATAGTTTCAATTATTTTTACATGAGTATTTATGAATCTTGTTGACTGGTTCAGTTAACACCAATATAGCGGGGGGGAGTTCATTTGCTGACCTCACTTTTGATGAGGTCTATCGTCTCTCCTCTCTTTTCTCTCACTCATTTAGTGGGATTTAGCTTTAGGAGTTTCATAGAGGCTATCCTCTAGGTGGATGATTAAGATCTAGATTAGAACTTGAACAAAATTTTCATTCATTATAGTTTGAAATATACTTGACTTTAATCCTTAACACTTCTTTGTTGAGTTGATTATGGTTGAGCTATTGAAACTAAGAATTAGTTACTTATATGATTGTGAATATGTTTTATGTGAACCATTGGGTATAGAGACTTGATTTAATAGTTTAGGATCCTTTGACGCATGACTTGCCCAATGGATTAGGTTGGTTAAAGTTATCCTTCTGGCTTAGTCAACCGAGGAAATCTTCTGGACATCCTCCATAGCTCTTTCATTAGTTTAAATATGAACACATTTGATTTGGTGTTCCGTTTTGAACGGTAATTAAGCTATATTTAAAATTAAAATCAAATTAAAATTAAACTCACCAAATTTAAATTTAAACATGAAATTCAAAATTTTTAAAATAAATTTAAATAAAATAAAAATTAAACTCTGAATAAACATGAGTCACATACAAATCAAATTATTTCAAACCTAAAAATAATTTCAAGCAAACATAAATAAAATTCAAATTTAAATTAAATCATATAAAATTCATATTCAATTCAACCAACTAAAACATATAAATCTATATCTAGTTCATTCAATAAAATTTGAAGTTAAATGAAAAATCCAACACATTTCAATTCAATCCAAAATAATTTGAACTTTATAATAAATCAATTACCAAAACCAACCATACGCTTACACTCAAATCCTAATAAAATTTTAAGCCTTTAAAAAGCTCGAAAAGCTTTGTTTAATAAAAGTAAATAGCTCAATCATACCGCTCATTATTTCATTGGATAAGGCTAATTTGGCCAGAAAATAAATAGCTTGATAACACTAGTATTAATTTGCTTGATAAAGGACATTTGATAGGGGTAGTGCCCATGTGGAGCTTAAGGTAGTTCTTTACATCAAGAATATCGTTGAACCATGGATGCTTGAAGGAAAGAAGATCATCAAAGGAGACAATGTCAACATCATCGATTTTCATAGGACCATGGAGAAGAGGGCTTGACAAACTTGACCACAGGATGGACTGAACTTACTTTTCTTACTCATTTTAGGTTAGTGATCTTTCATTTTATCACCAAAGAGTGTAACAAGATTGTCAGCTTTTGAGAACTAGCCTTACATGAAAACCGAATTCTTCTCTCTCTTCCTAGAGAGAAAGGGCACATTTTTTTGTGCATGCATAGCTGCATATTTGCACATTTTTTGTGCTTACAATATTCTCTTTGAATGCAGTATTGAAGTTTCAAGGTATGTATCACCTTGTGAACCAGAGATGTGACAGCCTTAATAGAGAAACTGACAAAACAGAAGAGTTCCCAAAGCACCAAATTCCATAAAGCAAAATAGTTGCAATTTAAACTTCTTATGTGTATTAACTGAGCCACCAGCAAGATAAAATGAAATAAGATTTTAAATTACTCGACATGGCTGAGCTCAGGGAAATAAACATGGGAAGGTTGAAAAAAATAACTGCAATTCTAGTAAATGAAAAAATTTAACCATAATTAATTTGCACCACAGATACTTACTTCAGCGTCTTCCAACCTTGCAGCAGTTAATTGATCTGTTAGGCTAATTATCCTGTAAAGATGAAGGGTTATTCAAACACAATAGATAAGAAATCATCAACAGCTTAATCAAACTATTTGTGCTAAGCAATTATCAGTAGAGAGCATACTTTCTGGCATTGGTTGAAATTTTATATATATACATATATATATATTTTCCTATATATATATATATATATATATATTAAAATAAGACATGCATTAGGATTCAATTATAGTTCTTTGAAAACCTTTGAACATTTACAAAGTTCTAACATACAAAATCCTTTGCAGTAACTAAGCATTAAGACTGGTTTTTCTCCCATGCACACTCGCTTCAATTCTATCATAAAATCATGTTGAAGCCAAAGATAGCTTGGGGTTAGATTTTGCTAATACAACTAGATGATACAAAGTATGTAAATCATATAAGTGAACATAGAATTCGTAGACTACAAATAACTAAGCATGCCAACAATATGCTTTCCTTGAAAGAAAAGCAAAAAATAAAAAGAAAATGCAATGAAAGAATAAATAAGAAAAAACCAATGTGAAATTTGAATTGCAAAATTAAAGAACAAACATAATTTTTAAAAACCCAATCAGAATCTTAGTTATACCAAATTTGAACATAATTTAATAGCAATTGCAAGTAAATAAAGTGTAGAAAAAAATTTCGAAGAAATAAATTATCAGGTAAAAAATTCAAGCCTCACATTGTTACAAAGAAGAAAATTTTTTTCAGAATTAATTAGTATCATTTGTATCACAATAGAAAGAATTGTGTATTCAATTTGCTCATAAAATTGAATTTAAAAAAAAAATTATAAAATCAAAATTGTATATTGTATGTCTCGTATTCATAATTTATAAAATCGCCATCCCTATATAAACAGATGTAGTTGATAAAAAGTCAACCTAAGGTCCGTTTGGCGTGGCTGAATTCGCATGGCACGTCGCGACGACGCAATTCCGTGCGATTGGAAAAGGCATCGCCGCGACATTTTCAAAAAAATTGGTTAAAACGTGGCCGCAGGTTCGACCCCACGACCTGCGTTTCTCCACTCTCAACCCTGGGTTCAATTACCCCGCTGCCCCTCTTCTCATGTTTCATCCGTCTCTGTCGACCCCGCTCCCTCTCTCACGATTCTTCTGCCCTAGGTATCTCTCCCGCGGATCCGTGACTCTGGTGGCTAGGCGTTGTTTCTGGTTAGCTATTTTTGGTTGCAAATGGTTGTTCCAATGACCCTTACATTCTTCTCCCTCTCCTCTCTTTTCTTCTGCTCGATTTTTGTTGGTTTGTGCATTATGTGCTTTGTGGTGGACCACTTTGTTCAGTTTGGTGGATCATTTTCTTCGGTTGGTAGTTATTGTGGTGAGGTTTATATTCTCTTTTCACCTCTCCTTTCTTTTCTTCGGCTTGGCTTGGTGGTTGTGCACATGACTGGCTTTGTGCGGCATTCCCTCTTCTATCTCTCTTCTTTGTTCTTCACCTCCTACAATTTCTCACTTCTCTGTGTGGTTATGCGCGTGATGTTGATTGGTTTCCTCTTTTAGGTTTCTCTGTTTGTTCGGTTTGGCGGTTTTCAGTTTGATATGCTAGGTTTGGTGGTTTTGAAGCTTCGTGTTACATCCATAATAGCTTTGGTTTATGGTTTTGATGAACTGTGATTTGCGATTTGACAATGTTGCTTGGATCGGTGTTTTGCGGTGATCTTCGGGTGCCGTGTATGTGATATGTTCGATTTCTTTTGGTTTTATTGGGATAATTACATACCTTGATTTGTTTTAGTGGGGAATTTGAAAATTAAATAAAATGTGGTCATGGATTTATTAATAACAATATTTCGGTTGCTGTGTATGTGTTGAATATGGGTTGGAAACATGAATTTTGAATTTCAGTGAGAATTTCATGCTGGATTAGTATATTGCTATTTCAGCGGGAATGTGGTGCTGGATTTTCATATTTTTATTTTTCAATTTCAGTGGAGAATTTGAAAATTGGATGATATTTGGTGTTGTGCATTTGTTGAATATGGGTTGGAAACATGAATTTGGATATTCTAGAGGAAATTTGTAAAATAGATGAAAGTTATTGTTGGATTTGTTAATAACAATTTTAGTGTTGTGTATGTGTTGAATTTGGGTTGGGATTTTAACAAGAATTTAGATATTTTAGCGAGAACATGTGAAATGGATAAAAGGTGTAGCTGAATTTGTTAATAACAATGTTTCTGGTGTTGTGTGGAGGTGTGTGGTTCTGTTTGTGTGGAGGTGGTGTTGGTGTTGTGAAGTCTGTGTGATGTCTAGTGGAAGTTTTGGTATTTATGTGGAGGTTTTTGTGTCTGGTGGAGGTGTTGGTTGGTGTGTTGTCTATGTGTGGTGTATGTATGGTGTCTGGTGGTGTGTTGTCTGTGTTACTGTGAAGAGGTGATGGCATAGTGGATGAGTTGGTGTTTGCGTGTTACTGTGATGACGTGGTGGTGTGGTGGATGAGTTGGTGTTTTGATGTGCCAGTATGTTTGGTGTCTGGTGGAGGTGCTGGTGTAGTGGATGAGTTGGTGTCATGATGGTGTGATGTCTGTGTGTTATTGTGAGGAGTTGGTGGTGTAGTGAACGGGTTGGTGTCTGTGTTACTGTGAGGAGATGATGGTGTGGTGGATGAGTTATTGTCTTGATGTGTCAGTGTGTTTAGTGTCTGGGAGGTGATGCTAGTGTGATGGATGTGTTGGTGTCATGGTGATGTGGTGTCTGTGTTACTGTGAGGTTGTGGTGGTATAATAGATGAGTTGGTGTCTGTGTCATTGTGATGAGGTGGTGGTGTGGTGAATGAGTTGGTGTCTTGATGTGTCAGTGTGTTTGGTGTCTGACGAGATGGTAGTGTGTGGGGTTCTATTTGTGTAGAGGTGGTGCTGGTGGTGTGGAGTTTGTGTGGTGTCTGGTGGAGGTTATGATGTCTGTGTGGAAGTTTTGGTGCCTGGTGGATGTGTTGGTGTGTGGTGGTGTCTGTGCCGTGTCTGTGTTACTATGAGAAGGTGGTGGTGTTTTTATGGAAGTGTTGATGTGCGGAGGTGATGCTGGTGGTGTAGTGGATGTGTTGGTGTCCTAATGTGCCTGTGTGTGGAGGTGTTTGTGTGAAGGTCGTGGTGATGATATTGTGACATTTTGTTTTTTCTTTGATTTATGATATTGTTGCATTCATATTTATATTAATTAGTTTGTTTCATGCTAGTAATACAATGATTAAGACCAAAGAGACTAGTTCATTTGCACCGTAGGACAAAAAAAAAATATTTTTTGTAATCTTTGTCTCAAGGAGGTCGATCCAGGAAATAAACTCACAATCTATTTAAACAAGGGTAACAAAATATTATCATAATATTCAAGGAAAATGCATAAATATAAGATGCAGTTAAAAAAACAAGTGAGATCAGCTCAAGAATGATTGAAAAATGTGTAATGAATTGAAGCGAGGGTCAACGAGCTTGAGGTGGGACCCGGTGAAGCGAACGATTGATGCTACCGAGAAGTGGAGACAGAAAACTTGCGGTGAACATTTTTGAAATGCCACTTATTCTGATAAATTTTAATTTATATTTAATTTGAACTACACGTTAGATTAATTTGTAGGTGGTGTTTGCTGCAAAAAAAATTAAATACAGCAGATACAATCTTGGTTGGAGAAGTTGGATCATATGTTTGGGGTGTAGTGGCAACGAACAACAATACATATGCCCCCAGTGAGACAGGGTTTGGTGGCATTCCCGAAAATTTGAGAGCTGCCCAATTAAGTGATTCCACAGAAGGCCCCAGCTCGAGCCTCCATGAACTTGAGTCCACGAGCCGCTCTAAGCATCTGAGGGTTGAAAATAAAAAGAAAATGGGAGCTCCTTGCCTTAGAAGCCAGATATCACTGTTGTTGGTTTCATGCAGCAATGACCACAACACATCTCAAGCAACTTCTGTCCAGCAAGTGCTGCAAATTCTGAATGCGACTACAGAAATTTCTGAAGACTTGCTACTGAATTTGGTTTCTATGAAGTTGTTTGAAGATTCGAACCGAAGAGAGTTTTTCATCGGGATGCCCGTTGATCGTAAGGTGACTTACCTATGATATTTTTATGAGAGTAGAAGCATTTGAAGTTTTTTTATTTACAATTGTATGGGATATTTATATTTTATTGTTTTTCATTTTGCTATGGATATTTAAACTACTTGGGACATGTCGTATTACTTGAGAGTTTTTCATTTTTCGTTACATTTTTATCTACTTCTGCAACGTTATTTGATTATGTTAGTTTTGTTCGTAACCTTATATGTAGCTAATTCATTGATGCTTATGTGTTAGTCACTTCGACACCGAAATACATGTATGCAACCAAAGAAAGACGGAAGAGGAGAGTTGTAGCTATCGTATGATTGATGCATGAATATTATAACTCGTACATAGAACACTCTTGCATGAAATTTTCATATGCTGGCAACAAATGAGAGTTGATTGCGGGTCAGCCAACAAAATTTAGTAATTTGAAGTACATGACACAGGCAGTATTCACTGATTTATTGGAGTAATTACACAGAAATCATGAACTTCATAGTTCATCCAGGATAACTTCACGAGGGGTGTTGGCGATAACTCTTTACATATTATCGCAAAATGAATCAATGTGAGCAATAGAGTTATTTCAACACTCCTTTGAAATAATTTACAAATATTTCTCAGTAAGGTTGAATGCACTTGTAAGTTTTCTTCACAAGTCACAAAAATCAACAGATCTTATGTTCAAACGAACCCTCACAGAGATTTCACATGACGCGCGGTACATGCTATACTTTAAGGTAATTTTTATTTATTACAATCAATTTTCAAATAAATGTCGTTATCACATGACCCTTTTTTATCTTTCTAAAATTGTATTGGAGTAATCGATGGAACATATTGATGCGCGTGTTCCAAATAATGAGAACATCTTATTCATCGGCCGTTATGGGTCATCGACGTAGTGTCATGGTGGTATGCGACTTTAACATGTG